CCTGCTGGCAGAGGCCACTTACAATCCAGTCAGACTGCCTCTAGAACACACCTTGAAAGCCTGCCTGTCCTGAGAGAGAGAACATGAGAGCGAGGGGGAGAGAGAGAACGAGACACAGAGAATACCAGAAAGAGAGAACCGGGTGGAGGGGCAGCTCTCCATTGCCAGAAGAGAGCAAAACAATTCCAATGGCCTGGTTTCTGCCCCCTCTGTATGTTCCTTGGCTTACCGGGGACTTAAACTGTCTCAGCATGGGCACGTTGCTGACATGGTCAAAGCCTGCTTAGCCTTTTGCAGTGAAATAAATCCAGCCCTAACAAACTATGTCCTGTTGCAGCACTTTTCCTGGTGTTCTACAACCTGACGTTGAGGTTATCAACATCATATTCACACTTCCTCCCTTCATACAGATCTTTTCATAGACCTTCCAGAAAGTATTTGACATCAACTTCCCTTGGATGCCCGTGCACAGCAGTGCCATCACCACAGGAGAAATCTTGACACAAGTAACCAGTGACTAATGCCATTCTGTTTTGGATTTAAGTAGAATTCCACCTGGAATTCATCCGCAGAGTCATAGACACTGTCTAGACTTCCCCTGATGCCAGCTTCTGATATTCTTGCTTTGAAACTTTGATTCATTAGCATTTGACACTTGCTCTTGCCTGCTACTGTTTCATGTTCATTCTTTCTGAAGTGCTAAATGGGACTTTTTGTTCTGGAGGAATGAAAACTAAATATGAACAACTTCTGATATTCCTTCTTTCTATAGAAGGACTAGAAATCAAGTAATAGAAAAAGATGAGAAAAAACCAAGTAGTTGTAATTTTTATCTAGATTTCACTAGGAGGGGATGTAGTGAATCTGGTGAAGACACTGCTAAACAAGTTCCTTCTTCCTATAGAAAGACTGGAAATCAAATAACAGAAAAAGATGAGAAAAAAACAAGTAGTTGTAATTTTTATCTAGATTTCACTAGGAGGGGATGTAGTGAATCTGGTGAAGACACTGCTAAACGAGTGCTGAACATTGTGCACAACAAAGAAAACCTAATTGTTTCTTCTCTGCCAGGATTTTACTGTTCTGTATGTTTTGCTACTTTCTCCAGATCAATTATGTTAGTAGCAAAGGTAGTGTGGGGTTTATGGAGCAGGTGAGGATTGTGTACTCACAGTTGATGCCCGAAGGCAGTGATGGCATAAACACTGCGTCTGGCAGTGGCAGAGATCTGGACGGTGTCACTGCTAATAAGCTATGACATTATTAACAATAAACCTGACACAGACACCAAAAAGGTCTGTTACCTCTGTTGTAAAGGCTGTACCACTACAGAAACTCCAAAGATACCTCTCGGCATTTCACTAACCAAAGAAGCAACTATTTTTTAGTGCAGATCACAATAGTATTTGTGTGCAAAAGCCATCTAACTTGTCCAACATAAATATATTTATGTTTTATGGGGTTTTGTTTACTGTGTTTTTAATCTGGGAAAATAAGGTATTTCTGTTTCATCTTATTGCTGAGAACTGCGATTGTTTTTAGACTGCCTAACTTAAGGCAGCCCCTATTCTTTAACACATTTGTATTAAAGTGCAAATTTAATGGACTGATTCGGTTTGCTGTAAGAAGGACCAAATGCAATCAAAATCTGTGGGGATTTTTGTTAATTTCACACAAATGGAATTTATTCTCCATCTACATGTACCTTTCTTTTCCTGCTTATTTGTAAATCAGAATGAAACTATGTTGTGTTATCAGTGGACCCCAGATAGTTTGAAGAGAACCTATTTCTAGCTGTTTTAATTTCTCATAAATTGCTAAACTTCAGCCTCAGAATTCCTGTAATCTTTATCTGGTGTCCCTATTCCTAATTCTTTATTTAAGGTTTAAATACAGCTCTTATTTAGGCACTCAGTTAGATCATGAAACATAAAAGCAAATGACTTGATGGAGCCAGTGTGTCACTTTCAATTATTTTAAGTGAATTTTTTTTAAATTCCTGCTAAATTTCAGGCCATATAAAATTGACCCTTTTGAGTCAGGATCACATAAATCCAATTGCCTTGTTTCATTACGATTTCTAACTACCTGTTTAATTTCAAAAGAAAAACCTAAATGCTCTCAGTTATATGATGGATTGGATCTCTCGTGAAGATTTGAATCCTATTACCCCATAACCTCTCAGCCACATCACACAGCTGCAAACCTCCAAATCTTGGCATATCTGGGAATTTATATCCCTGGTGACTACTGACATTTTGGTCAGTGTTATCTTTGCATATGTAACAATAGTCTGACATTGAAGTCCAACACATGGTAGAAAGGCAAAAATTAGGTAATGCTTGCCAGCCATACACTCTGTATCCAAAATACCCAAAGCCAGTAGCTTGCTGTAAATACACACGCCAGGAAGAGGCTTTGTGAGCTCTGTCCACCACCAAAGGAGGTTGTTATATGTAATTTTGTACAGAAAATAAATGGGTCTAATTTTGCAGTTCATTAGTCCACATGAAAATTCTGTCACTGTTTGAAAGCCTTCCTGTCTCTCATACTTAAATATGCGTTAGGAAAGCTATGAATTTGTTCTTGCCTACCTCATTTATTCTTCTTGTAATGTTGGCCTTTACTTTCAGTTAATCTTTTTTATTTAAATCAACGGTGTATTTTTTTCTGCCAGTCAGTTCCTTGCTTTTTTTTCCCTTATTTTATTTTGCTTTTTAAAGAGCTGTGATTGCTAATCAACATTCATCAACTGTTTTCCCCTCTGTTCTCATGATGCATTCAGTTCCTCACAGGAAAAATGACTGTCTGTTCAGATTTCAGAGATTAGGAAGCTTTTAAATATTCATAGTGATTATTTAGCACTTCTGCTGTTTATCATATAGAGCCTCACTTTGCAAAACATCTGTATACGGAAAAGTGGGGTCATCACACAATGAATATTTAATCTACATAGAAAATAAATAAACAAGCAGTATCTTTAATCTTTTTACTCTAAAAAGTACTAAAGGTTTCTTTTGATGGTGGATTTCTCAAATGTCCTCAAATCTTTTTAGTTTCTTGACTGATGCATCCCTCCTTAGGTGTATCAAATAAGTTGCTCTGATACTGACATTTCAAAATGCCTCTTTTTCATCCCTTCTATTTCAGTGTGTAGTTTCCAGGCAAGTCAATCTCTTACTTGTAGCAAGCACACACAAAAAACGCCAGCCCATCATTTAAAAACATGTTGCAGTCAGCATCATTTCTGTAAAGCATTTATGATTTACTGGCAGTACTGTATAAGAAAAGCACTAAGCTTTACATTAAATACTGTATCTGTTCTGAGATAGGGCACTGTTTAGTTACAACCATATGACAAATACCAAAAAAGAAGAATTCCTTATCATCTACTTCAGCCCTAACAATACATTATGATTTATCTCTTTTTAGGGAATCAAAAAACCTTTTACTGAAGTAATTAAAGCCAACATTGGAGATGCACATGCAATGGGACAGAGGCCAATCACCTTCCTCCGTCAGGTAAGAATATTATAAAATATTATTTGGGATTTTTAATTAGATTACCAAGAATCCCTTAAAAACTGACTGATGTGTGTATTAGTATAAATTATTCCCTAGATGCACTTGGACTTAAAATAGTTCTGTTGTAAAGGATCACAAATTTTGATTTCTGAGACAAAGTCCTATACCTTGCTTCTGAGTGTCCTCTTTCAACCCAGTAATTTTCCTTACTTTTCAGCTATCGCTCCCCATCTCCCGCCACTTCTCCTACGTTATCAGTCAGCGCAGGCGTTATCAATAATACACTTCAAAAGAGAAAGTGGCTGTCCTCAAAACAAAAAGCAAATGCCTCTTTTCATCTGACCATGTACTTTAAGGTCTGCACGCAGTTGGGTACGATTAGTTGTACCGTTGCTGATTTTGCACATTTTAACTCTGGGCAAGCTCAGCTGTAGGTTAACTTTTAGGAAAGGCTACAACAGAATCCACATTTGTGTATTATTCCTAAAACACAATCAATGTTTAAAACCAGCACTACGCTATTTACTGTGCATCCCTTACACACACATGTAAAATCCTCAGTTTACAATAAGGCAAATTCAGAGAGTTCCAGGACAAACTGAAGCCGCATCAAACTGGGCATCCAAGCGACAAGATGATAAAATTGAGCTACACAGCAAACTGTGAGCAAACTAGGAAGACCAGAGCCACTTACAAATTATCCAGATCCAATGGGAAATCCTTCCTCCCCATGGCTGTGTGCACACATGCATTAATTATTTAGTGACTGTTCTACCGGATGACAACAGCCCATCTGTATTACACCACGTAAGCTTAAAAATGAGAGAGAGACTGGAACAAATTAAGCTGATCTCAAGCAAGACTTCTAGATTCTTTGTGTCTTAGATTCCTTCATAAACTTCATTCTGCAAGGTCATGTTTCTACTTTTACTATGTTCCATATCATCACTTCTTTTTTAATTAAATATTGCCCACAAATTCAAATTAATAAGAACTATAAGTTATTTTTAGGAAGGATTATTAGAACATGCAACTGGCACTTCAAAATCTGATCATATTTCTCAGTTCTGCTCCATATTTAAACTCTTGATTTCTTATCAATAAAGTGGGCTGGTAATACACAAAGAGTGGAGGGTAGAGGTGTTTAGAGATAACATATGAATAATTAACTGTGTTTTACTGTGTTTGCACTATGCATAGCTCACTTGATTCCAATCTTCTGTCTGTAACACAAATAGTTAATAATTCTATAACTGTTTTTATCAGCAGAACTTGGAACCTGGTAAGATTTCTTCACTTCTGTCAGCACTACCCTTAGAAAAACAACTGCAAACTCTTCATCAATAACCTTTGTTTTAAATTAGCCAGTATTTGTGATCTTCATTTCACAGTGATATTACCAACTTAAAACAACCATTGAGAAGTGGCTAATTTATATTTTCTTGGCACTCTAGGTGGTGGCACTGTGTACATACCCAAACCTGTTGGACAGCCCGAGTTTTCCAGAAGATGCCAAAAAGCGAGCCAGACGGATCTTGCAGGGTTGTGGAGGAAACAGCTTAGGTAAGCATCTTTTTCAGCTGCTCCTGTTGGTATTAGAATCAACAAAGGTAGTTTCAACATCTGCAGTGCTGAGATTTCTTAATTGTGTTGTATATGGTTACAAGTCAAACGGGAGATGGCCTAGGGCAAAACGGTAGGGGGAGAGTTCACAGTGCTGCCTAATGAGCAGCAGTGACTAATAGTGCAAATTTTTGATGAGACTTGTCACAGGAGAGGAAGATGAGGATTATATAGTTATGGAGCCCTCACCACAATAACATCAAGGCATAACCCTAAACAGAACGCTGAGCTTTTTTTTGTATTAGGAAAGTAAGTGGCAGAGAATACTAGTGAAGCCTCGTTACTGTTCCTATGACATCTGTTAATCCTGGGCTCTGAGAGCTGTCTCCTGCTAAGTCTAGGTGGGGCTGTTTACAATTTTATCATCTCTAGATGTTTCTCTGCCAAGGAGTCTACTGTCCCTATAACAACGGCATCAACAAACAATACATGTCCATCTCTGCCGATCGAGTTCACAGTCCTGCATCTTAATCCTGAACAACCAGCCCAAGTGTATTTATCAGGATATGAACTAGGGTATCAGAAACTCAGGTACCAAGGTGACAATGCTCTGCAAAGGGAAAGCCACACAGCTGAAAGGTGGTAGCTTTTTACTTAGCTGAGATAGTTTTAACTGAAGATGTCAAAGCCCTATTACTCCAAGGTAAAATAACCCTTGAAAGAACTAAAAAAACTCTATTCTTCAACCACTGTTCCTGCAAGAGTATACGTATAATATATGCATAAATAAGTACAAACTTTACATATTCCGTGGAGAGGAAATGGAAGAGACAACTTCTTTATTATCTAGCAACCGTACTGCCTAGTGGGAAATGCCACTAGAATTTTTACTCTGCAGATAGTGTTACAGCTGCTGGGTATGGCAGAGGATCTGGCACACTTAATTACCTTCTGCCAGGTAGGCAGAGTACATATTAGAGTAACTGGCATTTTTCTTAATCTTTGTGATTGCAGTACCTATTTGCACTGGCATCTATTGAGAGTAGGTGCTGTGAAACTTAATAAAATAAACAAAACCTAACACAGAATGTATTTTATCTTCACCTTTTTTGCGTTGGTTTTGTTTCTGTATGTAGAACATCACATGAATTCCTTTCCTGGTTTACTTTGGAACAATTAATCCACATAGTACTAGTTGTCATGTAAAAGTTACTGAGTGAATGTTGCCTCAATCTTTCTTTGTAGTGATTTTCAAACTCAGAGACTTGGTAAGAGTTTTCAGAATGCTGGGTCTTGGCCCCATGCTGGAATGAAATGAAAGGAATTCAGCCTTGCATGATATTTCAGAAATATGTTGACTCTGTACAAAATACTCTTTTCAGCAGAAGATCACATATTTCAAGTAATTTGTGTTAGCTCAGTAGCCACTGAGGAAATAGGCCTGAAACAGATGCCATATTCAAATAAGATGATCATTCTGAATACACCCTTTTAATTTGAGTGGATAAATTCAAGTTCTGTAAGTGGCTGGAGTGCAAATGATTTTTTTCTTGATATGATATGCACCAAGAACATCCGTCCCTCTAAAGTCCTGAAAACTAAAACCCCTGCAGACCTTACTGATCTGCTGCACTGGTTTATGCCTTCTCTCCACCCTCCCTGTCTCCAGTATCATCTATCATCCCTTTCTCTTGGCCTCTGTTGCTCTTCAGCCCCCGTCCTCGCAGCCCGAGGCATGTGGGTGTGCAGCTGAATGGAAGCTACTCCCATCACCTTGTCAGTAGTCTGACAACTTACTGCTGTTCTCCTCATGGCCAAGAAGGAGAAATTAGCTTTCTTGGGAAAAAGCAAAGGTCAAAGACTGTTCCTTCCAGGTAGCTTCAAGTGTGATGTTGTGTTCTAGTAAAACCTTTTTTTCAAAAAATTTGTCAATCCAACACAGAAGTGGCTTTACTACACATGGTCAAGCTATTTGAAGCGTTGTACCATCATCTATACCAGCCTGTTTAAATGTATTAATGTAAAGTTAATATGAATGTCTTGACCTCTGGATATGAACTAGAATAACCTCACTTCCAATAAACATTCATTTGACAAAACCCTACTCATAGTATTGAGTCTTGCTACTCCTGGATCATGTGTGAAGGCTCAGAATGTCCTCAACTTCTGTTGTGTTCAAACACTCTGGGATTCCTTTAACATCACTTACTTTACCTGTGGGTAACTATCACATCTTTCCAGGCAGCTGAAAAATTTATCCCTCTCCTATATATAAGAATATTTAATATATGCACATGCAGCTTTTTGGGTTGGGTTTATTTATTTGCATCCCACCATACAAAGAAATGGGTTCTAGTCAAAGCCATCAACTGAGTACAATTAAGTGTAGAAGATCTGAAAATTGAATTCAGGTCTTCTGTATACCCTCACTGAGTCATGGGACTCAGCCCACGATAGAGAACAAGACAGAATGACTGTCAGAGGTTTGTTCTCCTACTTCAGCAGCAGCTTCCTCACTGTGGTCAAAGACCCGTGTATAGACCCAATATAACTTTTAGTCCTGTAAAAGTAAACGTTTAGGACATCTGGGAACTTTGTGCCCTGAATTACCATTTTGTTCCATGCAATTGTGCAATACTTGCAAAGGTTCTTTGTCTTTATAAATTATGCTTTCACAGAAGTATCATCAGGGAGAATACTAGTATATAACTGAGGGATGAGAGCTAAGTCAGGCACAATTATTCCACTCCACCCAACAAGCAAAGAAGATTGTGCAGCTTCATGACAGTGTTCTAAATTGGATATATGCTTGTCACTTCATTGTCCATCAGTCTTAGGCTTCATAGCTTGAATCTGTTCCTCACCTTGGCTTAGGCTTATTTTTACTCTGTATTTGTTGCACACGCTCAGAAAGGATGCACATAATCATCTAAAGTCTTATTTTATTTAAGATTATTAATTGTGCTCTGTAAATTGCACGAGGCTTATAGATTGGGGGGATCCTAGATGTTTCGGCTACAAGTAACTGAAAAGCGGTTGTGGGAGATGCTGTGTGGGGAGAGAGAAGTTTAGGATTTTGGGGGTTTCAGACTGTGGATGCTACAAGTAACTGAAAAGCAGTTGTGGGAGATGCTGTGGGGGGAGAGAGAAGTTGTTTAGGATTTTGGGGGTTTCAGACTGTGGAAGAAATGGTATTATATTATTTTCATGTTGCAAATAGAAATCTTATTTTTGTCATGGATTTGAAGAAGTTGTTTTCCTTTCTATTGCACATGCTACCTCTTTTCCTTGTTCCCATTACTTAAATAGGTGTTGGTTGACATTGTAAAGACATTTTCAAAGTAAAGAAAGCAACTGGGAGATAGTCAAAAAGGGATTCCTGTCCCAGTTTGCAAAGTAGCCTTTAAATCCTACTTTTTACCAATATTATTTTTGTATTTTAGTGATACTAACTGTATTTATCTAATTCAAAATTAATTTTTTGCTCTATGAACAAACTTTCCTACTCCTTAAAAACTGCCCCCCCTAGTCCTGGGGATCCAAAGCTCCCATATATACAAGCTACTTCATACAATACTAGCTCAGGAGTTCTGCTAGTAAACAGGAAATCTGTTCGTTGTTCTCAATTCTCATCTCATTCTGTATTTTTCACAGGATCTTACAGTGCCAGTCAAGGTATAAACTGCATCCGTGAAGATGTTGCTTCGTATATTGAAAGAAGAGATGGAGGGGTTCCTGCAGATCCAGATAACATATATCTTACCACTGGGGCAAGTGATGGTATTGCTGTAAGTGCTAAAATTAAACCTGTCTCTTCTCGGTATAAACTATAATTTACCAGTTACCTTTGGAAATACAGATCTCTGTTGGACATCTGGTCTCACAAACTCCTGTGAGTTTGATCTAGCAGGTACTGCAGTCACAGTTAGTGGATATCCAACACACCCAATTATGTGGATGTAAGATGCCAGCTAAGAAATAGGCACATGAAGACAAAGTCTCTTAACATGCACTAACTTGTACCTTTTGCAAAGGTAGTATGAACTACATAGGTGCCTAAATATAAATTTAGGAGATTCAGACCAGACTAAGTAATGGTGGTTAAGAAACATAAGCACTGAAGATTACAGGGTATGAATCAGTGGCAGAGAGAAGAGGGAACGACCTTGGAAGTGAGAAGTCTCAGCAGTATTTCTTCTTAGTAGACTCTGCTAGAGCAGATTAACGCCAGTGAAAATCCCAAAGAGCTACTGCAGTAGCCAGCTTGTTTGGGAAAAACTTGAGGTTCTGGATTCAATCAAGGTTCAAAGATGGTCCTCAGGTAAGACAGGAATAATTGCCCATTAGGTTTTTCCTTTACACTGACTGATACTGACATTACAACAACCAACAGTCCTTTGCTGGCAGCGTTTTAGAGCTTGTTTGGAAAAGGTGTTTTTTTAAATGACATCTAGTGGCAGAGCTCAGAATGACACTGTTCCGACGAGCAATTCCCCAGATGTCTTTAGTGAATTGGCTTTCCAGAGTTTATGATGCCAAGTGTTACCCTGGCAGCTTGTCAGGAATGGCAGTGTGGCATATCAAATCTGTACCACGCTTATTTGATTCCACCAGCGATGAAAAGTCAGCAGTACAATGAGTCTCATTATTTGGAACTTCCAAGGATAAAACAACTAGTCTTTCATAACTTGGGGGGCAGAGGGTGTTAAAGAGTTTTTAAATCTGCATTTGGTCCTGATTATACATTTTGGATGCTTCGTGGTTTTAAAGTAGTGTTGGGTAGAAAATGTTGTTGATTATAAATCATGAGCTTAGCAGCTGAGTTAGTATGTGATACAAGGCACAGAAAGACAGATTTTGTTCTAGAACCAATCAGAAACTGAAAGGATACTGCTGTTTTACCTGAAGAGATATTTTTGTTTTTACACTATCAATTAAATGACTGATAAGGAGGCCTGCTTTGATTGCACCTGTATGTCAGAGTGAAGTACAAGCAAGAAATCTCTCCACTTCCTGCAGTACA